TTCTATCGCTCGCCGATCATCGGGCAAGTCTGTCAAAGTCCATACTTTGTTTTCATACATGGATCCTATCTCGGATTGCAAGGCTTCGAGCCATTTGTTGGAATCTGGGCCCGCCATCGCTTCTTCATAGTTCGAAGGTTCACCGTTGTCTAACAACATGATTTCTAGGACAGGGTTGCCATACCATTCCGGTGTGGAACGTGTCCTTGTGGACCTACGAAGTTTAGTAGCAACTTGATCCAAAGTACCTTGATCATCGTCATTAACTTCCTCTCCAGTCGGTGCAGGCACCACAGGAACATCTTCCTGAGCTGCGCTACTTTCCGGTTCAAGAGGTAGTACTTCATCGATTTCTACTTTCCTCCCACTTACTTCTCTCGAGAGAAACTCTTTCTCCAGAAAGGACCCGTTCTTGGAAACAAAGATCTTGCCTTCGGATCTGAGGTAGAAGGTATACCCAATGGTTTCCTTAGGGTATCCTATAAAGAAGCATTTTTCTGACTTGGGTTCGAGCTTTTCAGGTTGAAGTTTCTTGACATAAGCATCGCATCCCCAAACTTTTAGAAACGACAGCTTAGGTTTCTTCCCAAACCATAATTCATACGGTGTCATCTGAACGGATTTAGACAGTGCCCTATTTAAAGTGAATGTAGCTGTCTCTAGAGCGTATCCCCAAAATGATAGTGGTAAATCGGTGAGTGACATCATAGATCGCACCATATCCAATAGAGTGCGATTACGACGTTCGGACACACCATTACGCTGAGGTGTTCCAGGCGGCGTGAGTTGAGAAACGATTCCACATTTCCTTAAGTGCGTACCAAATTCGTGACTTAAATATTCTCCCCCACGATCTGATCATAAGAATTTTATCTTTCGGTCATGTTGATTCTCTACCTCACTCTGAAATTCCTTGAACTTTTCAAAGGTCTCAGACTTGTGTTTCATCAAGTAGACATACCCATATCTACTCAAGTCGTCAGTGAGAGTGAGAACATAACGATAGCCTCCGCGAGCTTCAAGCTCATTGGACCGCACACATCAGTATGTATGATTTCCAATAAGTTGGTTGCTCGCTCCATTGTTCCGGAGAACGGAGTCTTGGTCATTTTGCCCATGAGGCATGGTTCGCATGTGTCAAATGATTCGTAATCAAGAGACTCCAAAAGTCCATCAGCATGGAGCTTCTTCATGCATTTGACACAAATGTGACCAAGGCGGCAGTACCACAAGTATGTGGGACTATCGTTATCAACTTTACATCTTTTGGTATTCACACTATGAATATGTATAACATCACGTTCGAGATTCATTAAGAATAAACCATTGACCAGCGGGGCATGACTATAAAACATATCTCTCATATAAATAGAACAACCATTATTCTTGGATTTAAATGAGTAGCTATCTCATATTAAATGAGATCCAGATACAATGTTCATGCTCAAAGCTGGCACTAAATAACAATTATTGAGGTTTAAAACTAATCCCATAGGTAAATGTAGAGGTAGCATGCCGACGGCGATCACATCGACCTTGGAACCATTCCCGACGCGTATCGTCACCTCGTCCTTCGCCAGTCTCCGCTTATTCCGTAGCTCCTGTTTTGAGTTACAAATATGAGCAACCGCACCAGTATCAAATACCCAGGAGCTACTACGAGCACTAGTAAGGTACACATCAATTACATGTATATCACATATACCTTTGGTGTTGCCGGCCTTCTTGTCCGCTAAGTACTTGGGGTAGTTCCGCTTCCAGTGTCTGCTTCCCTTGCAATAAAAGCACTCAGTCTCAGGTTTGGGTCCATGCTTTGGCTTCTTCCCAGCAACTGGCTTACCGGGCGAGGCAACTCCCTTGTCGTCCTTCTTGAAGTTCTTCTTACCCTTGCCAATCTTGAAACTAGTGGTTTTATTGACCATCAACACTTGATGTTCCTTTTTGATCTCCACCTCCGCTGATTTCAGCATTGAATATACCTCACGAATGGTTTTCACCATCCCCTGCATATTGAAGTTTATCACAAAGCTCTTGTAGCTAGGTGGGAGCGACTGGAGGATTCTGTCGACCACCGCGTCATCCGGGAGATTAACTCCCAGTTGAGATAAGCGGTTGTGCAACCCAGACATTTTGAGTATGTGCTCGCTGACAGAACCATTCTCCACCATCTTACAACTGTAGAACTTGTCGGAGACTTCATATCTCTCGACCCAGGCGTGAGCTTGGAAAACCATTTTCAGCTCTTGGAACATCTCATATGCTCTGTGCTACTCAAAACGCTTTTGGAGCGCCGGTTCTGAGCTGTAAAGCATGCCGCACTAAACCAGCGAGTAATCATCACTACGCGACTGCTAGGCATTCATAACATCTTGAGTTGCTGGGAAAACGGGTGCTTCACCTAGCGGTGCATCTAGGACATATGCTTTCTTGGCAGCTATGAGGATGATCCTCAAGTTCCGGACCCAGTCCGTATAGTTGTTGCCATCGTCTTTCAGCTTGGTTTTCTCTAGGAACGCCTTGAAGTTGAGGGCAACATTAGCGTGGGCCATTTGATCTACAAGACATATTGCAAAAGTTTTAGACTAAGTTCATGATAATTAAGTTCATCTAATCAAATTATTAATGAACTCCCACTCAGATAGACATCCCTCTGATCATCTAAGTGATCCATGATCTGAGTCAACTAGGCCGTGTCCGATCATCACGTGAGACGGACTAGTCATCATCGGTGAACATCTTCATGTTGATCGTATCTTCTATATGACTCATGTTCGACCTTTCGGTCTATTGTGTTCCGAGGCCATGTTTGTACATGCTAGGCTCGTCAAGTCAACCTAAGTGTTTTGCATGTGTAAATCTGGCTTACACCCGTTGTATGTGGACGTTAGGATCTATCACACCCGATCATCACGTGGTGCTTCAAAACAACGAACTTTCGCAAGATTAATCCTAACTTAAGGATTGAAGTGTACCTTCGAAATGGATTTCGTGTCATAGGGATATTGAAAATGTGCAATTTACAGTACAACCTAGTTTGTGTTGACATCATGGGGTGCTTGGATCTTCTTCACTATTTTAAATAGCCCGCTATAGCTCTGCTATAGCACGCTATAACATTTACAAAAGGTTTTGCGCTAAGAGACTTTGATCCAAACAAATGAACAAACATTTTAAATAGCGCGCTATAGCTCCGCTATTGCACGCTATAGCTCCGCTATTGCACGCTATAGCATTTGGAAGAGGTCCGCCGCTAAGATGCTTAGCGCGTTATTTAAAACTATGATCTTCTTGAACTGAAGGTCCTGCTGCAACCACTTTATAAACATGGAATGGATGTAATAGGTGTCGGATGCTTTTTTGATGGATTCAATTTCATGGCCACCAGGGGGGAGTTTTTGCTGCGCGAAAGCACTTAGGTCTCCACTTGTAAAATCACCAGGCCTCGGGTTGGAGGCCCTCTTGTTGATACCTGGGAATCTTCTCGGAATGAACTTCTATCATCGCGAAGAGACGCCATTCCCCCCGTACCATGCCATTCAAGAGCAGTAGATACTACTGCTGGTGCTTTGTTGGGGCATGCTTATTTTGACACTTATTCGAGGGAAGCTAATACTACTGAGTGCGATGGAAATCGCCCATCGCAAAAAAAGATTAACATATGGTCGTTAGACTCGTTACCCAAGCCATGTTTTTTCCGACCAGAATTCAGGGAGTACCATACTATGAAAGTGGCAGACCTTTGGTGTTGCTCGAGTTGTACCTGTGTTGTTCTTTTGCATAGCTGAGCTGTAATGATGTGTAACCACTAACCAGTAACGTAACGTGCTGAATTCATGCCGTCATTTGAGTGGATCGCTGAGGATTTGGACTGCCCTGTCATGCCAAGGGCTGTGAGGGCGATCAGGCCAAGGATTCCTTCGGCTCGTGAGCCTTCAAATCATATTCTGCTGTCAAAGCAGAGGCGCTTTGGGCTTGTATGCCGGGCTCGGCAATGGTTAAAATTTCATACTTGAAGCCAGGTTGGGGCTTAGCTTCCTCTATTTCAGGTTGTTGTAAGTCTGGCTGAAAATTTTCTGTTCTGTCACTGACTAATTTCATACTTGTGTTCCTTGTCCAGGGTGTCTCTGAGCAGAGTTGGATGTGTTGCCGGGTAGGCCTTTTGGTTTGTTTTTTTCCTTTATCCTGGTTGAAACGGTTGTAGCAAACTAGGTATTTTCTTTGAAATGGAAATAGAGGAAACCCTTTGTATTAGGAAAAAAGGAAGACCCTTGGCTGATCCAGTGATCCTCTGCTTCTTGCTGCTCATGCCTTTCTCTGTCTGGTGCTTCTGTTTTCAGTTCAAGTTTATCTCTCGGTTAATCCCACCAAAATCAATTCATCGGTCAGAAACGGCAAGGCATTGTGGTATGGTTAATCTCAGTTCAAGTTTATCTCTCGGTTAACATTCAGCATGATGTGATGGACTCCATTTGTGACACTTAGCGCTGCTTATAACGTACAGTACATGGGAGGAATTTGTTTCTTGAATAGAATCGATAGAAGAAAAGAAGAGGATATTTTCACTTGATATTGTTTGTTTTGAGGATACTCTTTTTTCTTGTGCGGGGGTTGTTTTGAGGATACTGAATGGTGCACCCCGTCTATGCTAGTTATACTTATACATAAATGATTGCCTGAATAATTACTTATGTTTTCTGTAGTAATATTGATGATGATGCGTTAGCTAATTTGCCTAATCCCGACACTTGCTCATGTCTTAGACTTCTCTCCACCTCTAGAACCAACACAATTTCCAAATCCACCACTCCTGGGCAATTAACCTCTGCCAGTTACACAGGAGTGTGTTTTGAACATTCTAAATCATGCAGGCCAAGCATTAGTTATTCTAGAACAAGCAACGATCACAAACACAACTTATTGCCGGTCACAGTTCATAGCATATCAAGCAACTTGATCATGATCGGCACATCTAGATGACACGACACCGTTTACCTCCTAAGTTAATTGGGCGCCGCGTGGTGTGATGATTCGGGTGGATCAACATCGTAGGCGAGGCGAGACAGAGCCGTGACGACGGTGCCGATGGGCGCTCTCGTGGCATGATCTTTGTGGATGCACACCGAAGCAACTTCGAGGGCCTCCTGCAAGTCCAAGGACGGATATCGCCCCTGCAGCGCCGGGTCTGCCATCCGGCGGAACTGGCTCCTGTCCTTCAGCATTGTTCGGGCCTGACCCAACAAGAAACATCAGTACACAGCATCACTCGGATCGTTCATGGGGAAACAAGAAGTAGCAAAATAGAATCCCAAAACCATGGCTAATTAATTTACCCATGTGACAAGGTGCCGATCCTCGACGTCCTGGGGGGAATCGGTGGCCCTCCGCCCGGTGATCATCTCCAGCAGCACGACGCCGAAGCCGTACACACTCGACCCCGGAAACAGCTTCCCGGTCATCACGGTCTCGGGGGCCATAGTACCCCATGTCCCGCCGGTGATAGCAGCCGGTGCAGACAGCTGGTCATGCTCCGCCAGTCCATATTGTGACAGCTTTGGGTGGTAGCCTTCTCCGAGCAAGATGTTCGAACTTTTGACGCATCGGTAGAGGACACCTTTGTCGTGCATATACTCCAACCCTCTGGCCACACCGGCAGCAATGTTCATCCTCGTGTTCCAGTCCAGCGGTGCTTTGCCTGGAGATGAACCTGATGGTCACAAGATGATCAGGTGGTTAACTAACACAACCTCAAACGAATCATGAACACAGTTATAAGCTTTGTAGCTAGATTGTTGGCATGCATATAAATAGCACACGTACGCACTTACTTACCGTGGAGGTGATCTTCTAGAGAACCAAATGGCATGTATTCGTGAACCAAGATCCGGTGATGGCCATCCGCACAAAAGCCAATAAGATTGACAATATTTGGGTGGCGCAGCCCGCTCATCATCAGCGCAAGGGCAAGAAACTCTCCATTATCTTGCTCCGATGATCCACTTGGATCAACTGCATGCTGCAGCTTTATAGCAACAACCTACAGATGCAGATGTTGATTGATCAATCATTTTTTCCCTCACATTGATCATGTTGTCAACTCGTCATGGTACGCACGTATATGAAACTAACAAGTAAAAGGAGAAGAATTGGATCGTCACCTGATTGATGCTCTTGAGGAAGCCTTTGTAAAGACCATCCTCCCGACCAACGATGCGGCAGGCATCGCTGAAGTTTCTTGTCGCCGCCGCGAGCTCCTCGAAGGAGAAAGTTCGTGCCACGGCGCCAGGGACGCTGCTGGTGTGTGGATTGGCTGGGGCAGAACCTGGGACCTCCTTCTTCCTGGCGCTCAAGCAGGGGAAACAGCTTGCCATTGTTCAGCTTGACACCGGCTTAGCTTCCTTTTGCCAGATCTGTGTGTCAACCAGAACAAGATTGTGCTGCATTTTCAATAGACATAAGAGCAAAACTATTTAGCTTCACAGCAGCTCAGTTGACATTGTACTACGGAAACATATGTCCCTGGAAGTTCAAATAGCAATGCTATGTTTACCGGAGTTTTGTTAGACTCGTCTCACGGGTTTAAGTTGAATTCACAGGGTGTTAAGAAATATCATGAATAATCTTATAGACTGTTCTGTTTATACTGAAATTTTGAAGTCACATGCATGTTTGAAACTTTGAATACATGTTTCCTCGTGTGCCTTGAATGACCAGAGGCTTGGCTAAAATATGTTATCATCCTCAAGATATGCACAGCGGTGTAGGTCTGGCACCTTTTTTGTGCTGCCACATTTTCATTTCTGAACTTGGCTCAAGTACGAGACTCGTAACAATTGAACATACATAGGTATACATAGATGTTGAAACTATCTTTTTTTTATGAACATGGTGATAACTGTCTCTGCCGACTGCATTCGTTTTTCTGTTACACTGATGAATGAGGAATTAACAACTATGTCTACCATTATATTATGTATGAGTTAGAGTTTGGGTGAGACAATATAGATCAATACGTGCTGCAACTACAAGAGATGCCACATGTATCTACCTCTGCATGCTCTAAGGCTAGGTCGTGAAGATAAGGTGGATAGCGCCTCAAATAATCAACAATAAACTTATGTATCATACTGTCACCGGTCATGAATCATATATGTTCATGAGTTAGTTCGTAACATGCACGGATCTGCCCGCCCAATGCCTAAGAACTAACACGAAGCATCAGAGAGATTAAAATCGATGATCTGTTTCCCAAATCGCCCCACGTGTAAGCAGCAGTGTAGATTCTTGAAACAATTAAACCAGAAAGAACAATTTAGACCATAACCAGGAGCTAATCAAGTGCATCAGTTCCATTTCCCACCTACAGCACCTGTCATCCCAATCCCTCTTTGTTTTTCAGATCTCCGCCACGCTCAGGTCTTTTCTTAAGACATCAAGACCAAGCCGATTTATTGTTACGTGCCGATTTATTGTTACGTACGCTGGATTGGGCGGATTCAGGCAGCGTGCTGAAGAAAAGGGAGAGTAGAGCGGGGAATTTTGGGGGTTTTGGGGACTTACGTGCGTGATGGGGCTTGGCCTTGGATCGGGGGGCGGCCTACTCGAACCGAACGTGGTTGGAGGAAGCCAGTGAGATGCAACCTCTCCGCCGGCCGGCTAGCTCCTCGCGCTCCTCGATCGGGTCCAGCAAGGATCGTGGATGGGTCCGCGTAGTCTCCCAGGAATTACACCCAGCGAGCCCGGATGAGCTTGGAATCATGGACTCATGGTTGACAGTGGCATGGTGATGGGTGTGCTTGGAATCGAGGTGGGGGATGAGAGGCCGGTGGCCGGTGCCAGGGGAGGGGACGACGGAGGGGAGAAAGGGAGAGGATGCGAGTCCGTGTGGGTGTGGCTCAGGCGATGGACGCACTCGGCAGCTGACACTCGCCGCACCAGCTAGCTGGGTAGCATAGGAGGACTGTGGCTACTTGCTTCCTGGAGTAGCTTGCATGCCGAAAACGGAAAGTGAGACTGCTTGCCAGAAAGAAACGGACGTGTCACGGGCGGTAGGAATGGCCGTCAGTAAATCAAAGAGGTCAGGAGGGGTGGGTGGGGGTAAGCGCGTGTGTAACTTTGAAACTTCTTTTTTTGAGAGAAATGTAACTTCGAAACTTTAAACTTTGAAATGTGATTTTTCATTATTATTGTTTTTAAAAACCAAATGGCATTTATGTGTTTAACATACATCTTAAGAGTGCTCGAGAATTATATACCAATAGACAAATAATATATGAAACACATCGTAACGAGTTGGGAGACGTGTTCTGCCAGTGCAACAGCTTGGTCTGGAGGCAAGCATTCTGTCAGAAGA